ATTTCAGCTCAGGTCGTCATCTCAGAGTTGGGAGATCAAGTCCCATGTCCAGCTCCACACCGAGCATGGAGCCTGCTTAAGATTCTCTCTCTCCCTCTCCCTTTGCCCTTCCTTTCTCTCTCTCAAAAAAATAATAATGAAGTAACAACTGACAGATAAATACTGAATATTGCCATTTTGTTATTTATTTTATGTTTTATATCTTTTTGTCCCTCATTTCCTCCTTTACTATTTTACTTTGCATTTAGTTGATTTTTTTAGTGACATGTTTTGATTCTCTCCTCTTTTCCTTTTGTGTATATTCTATAGATATTTTCTTTTTGATAACCGTAGGGATAACAAAAACATTCTATAGTTATAACAATCTATTTTAAACTAATAAACTTGCTTCTGTTTGATTTGGGTTTAGCTTGCTTTTTTTTTTCTAGTTTCAAAGGATAGAAGGTTATGTTATTGTTTTGAGGTCTTTCTTTGTAGATCCTACTGTGTATAAACACAGTAGCCAGAAGGGGGGCTAGGCAAGGGAGAATTTTCTTTTTTTAAAGATTGCTTGCTTGCTTGATTGATTTGCGAGAGAGAGAGAGCGCATGCACGCACATGCACATCCATGTGCGCCCATAAGCAGGTACAGTTCCACTCCACCCACTTTATGTTATTGAAGTCACAAATTGTATCTTTATATATTCTATAACCTTTAACATAGATTTATAGTTTGTTATGCTTTTGTATTTTAAATCTTATAAAAGAATAAAAAAATGGAATTACCAAACAAAATTACATAATATGGGTTTTTATATTTGTCCTTACTTTTACCTTTACCAGAGAACTTTATGTTTTATTGTCTAGTATTCTTTCATTTCAACTTGGACACCGTCTAGCATTTCTTGTAGGGTAGATCTAATGGTAATGAATTCCTTCGGTTTTTGTTTATCTGGGAATGTGTTTGTTTTTCCCTTGTTTTTGAAGGGTAGTTTCACTGGATATGGTATTCTCGGATGTCAGGTTTTCTTTTAGCACCTTAAATATGTCATCCCACTGCCTTCTGGCCTTCAGTGTTCCTGCTGAGAAATATGCTTATATTCCGTAGTTTGATTAAAATCTGTCACAGTATGGGTTCCTTTGGGGTTTTCCTACATGGAGTGTTTGTTGAACTTGGATTTGTAAATCCATGTATTTCCTCAAACCTGGGAACTTTTCAGCCATTATTTCTCCAAATAAGCTCTCTTCCCCTTTCTCTCTCTATTATTCTTCTGGGACTTGTACAATGCATATATTGGTCTGCTTGATGGTATCCTATAAGTCTCTTAGACTATTTTCATTTTTCTTCATTCTATTCTCTTTTTGATGTTCAGATTCAATAATTTCAAATAACTTGAATTCAAGTTCATTGATTCTTTCTTTTGTCTGTTCAAGTCTACTGTTGAACACTCAAGTGAATTTTTCTATTTAGTTACTGTGCTTTTAAGCTCTAGAATTTTGGTTTGGTTCTTTTTTTATAATTTCTACCTCTTTGTTGATACTCTCATTCTGTTCACATATCATTTTCCTGATATGGCCATCTGTTCATGTTCTCTTTGAGAATATTTAAGACGATTGTTTTAAAGTCTTTGTCACATAAGCTCCAGGCCTATGTTTCTTTAAGGTCAGTTTTCTGGAGATTTATTTTGTTATTTTGAATGGGCCAATACCATTTCCAACCATATCCATGTTTCTCTGTTTCTTTGTATGCCCCATGATCTTTTGTTGAATATTGGGCGTTTGAAAAAATGGCCACCTTTCCTAGTCTTTGCAGACTGGCTCCCCTACTCAGCTGGTCATGCAAGTCATTTTAAAAATGTTTTTTCTGATGTCTCCTTCTTTCCTTCCCTCCTTCCCTCCCTCATCCCTCCTTTCCTCCCTCCATCCCTTCCTTCCTTCCACCCTAGGTTAGACTCAGGTATTTGGTTGTCATTCTTTTATGTTCTCTGATATAAGATGTTTTACGTTTGTAAGTATCCTTAAGCCCCACTTCTGTGGCATTTCTACAACAGTTTTGCAATGGTTAGTGTTTTTATTACTATTTACTTGTAAATCATTTTTAATTTCTAATTAACTAAATTAACTTTTAAATTTCAGTTAACTAAATTAATTAACTTAATTGATTAATCAGTCATGAGTTCTACTCAATTGTATTTTGGTTAGAGAACGTGATTTATATCAGGGGTTGGCAAACTTTTTCTGTCAAGGACCAGAGAGTAAATATTTCAGGCTTTGCAAATCCATACAGTCTCTGCTGCAACTACTCCACAGTGCTCTTGTAGCATGATATATCAACAAATAGGCAGGTGTGGCTACATTTTGATAAATTATTTACAAAAAATAGATAGTAGGCTATATTTGGCCATGCCAATCTGCAATGTACATGATACCTGCTATTTTGTTCAGGTTTGCTTTTAGAGCAATTTTTTATATGTCCACATGTGCCAAAGAATGTTTGTTTTCATTTTATATATGTCCATTAAGTCATGTTTACTAACTGTTCAGTTCAGATTACCTGAATCTGTAGATTTTTGCCTTTCCGTGACCCATCACTAGTTGAATGTGTATTAAAATCTCCCTGAGGGTGGTTTTGTCCCTCTCTTTTGACTTGCTCTTTCCCCAGTGATGTTTTGTCACAAAATCTACTTCGGTAATTATAAAATACTAGCTCTCTTTTTATTCTTTACTAACGTATCTTTCTCTGGCTTTAATTTTTAACCCTTCTGCATCAATGTTTGTATGTTTCTTACAAACATCAGATGGCTGACTTTTATCCAGTCTGACAGGTTATTTTTTTTTTTTTTATCACCAAGCTCAAACCATTTACATTTTTTGTTTTCTTGGTTTTCTTAAGGCCAACATAAACTTCAGCCAGAGTTAACCACATTTCTTTTCATATCTCTTTTAACATTATCTGGATTTATCTCTTCTTACTTTGAGTATTTCCTCCAAAACATTTTCATGGTGGATCCTTCCTGTGGCAAACCTTTTGAGGTCTTAAAAGCCTAAGAATATTTTTTATTATACTCTCTTATATGAGTAACTGTTTGGGTAAAAAAGTCTAGGTTCTGAGGTTTTTTCCAATATATTAAAAATACTACTTTATTGTGTATCTTGATCTCTCTTCTTTTGTAGGTGATATGATCTTGTTTTTTAGAAACTTTCAGAATTTTTCTATCTTTGATACTCTCAAATTCTATATATTTCATCCTACATGTCTAGATATCAGTTTTTCCATATCTTATTTTTTTTCCTAGTTCTACGAAAAATGTTGGTATTTTGATAAGGATTGCATTAAGTCTATAGATTGCTTGGGTGATACAAACATTTTCACAATATTGGTTGTTCTAATCCATGACCATGGAATATCTTTCCATTTATTTGTGTCATCTTTAATTTCTTTCATCAGTGTTTTACAGTTTTTGGAGTACAGTTTCACCTCCTTGGTTAGGTTTATTCCTAGGTATTTTATTATTCTTGGTGCAATTATAAATGGGATTATTTTTTTAATTTCTCTTCTGCTACTTCATTATTAGTGTGAAGAAACACAACAGATTTCTGTATATTAATTTTGTATCCTATGATTTTGCTGAATTCATTTATCAGTTCTAGTAGTTTTTTGGAGTCCTTTAGGGTTTTCTATATAGTATGGTATAGTGGTACCATGTCATCTGCAAATAGTGAAAGTTACTTACTCCTTACCAATTTAGATTTCTATTTCTTTTTCTTATCTGACTACTGTGGCTGGGACTCCCAGTACTGTGTTGAAAAAAAAGTAATGAGAGTGGGCATCCTTGTCTTATTCCTGATCTTAGAGGAAAAGCTCTTAGTTTTCACCTTGAATATGATGTTAGCTGTGGCCTTTTCATATATGGCCTTTATTATGTTTCCATATCTTACATGATCAGCACTCATGGAGGCTTTCAACCTAAGGCCATTTGACTTTCTTTAATTGTGTGAAATCTACCTGTATTATTTCCTTAAATATTTCCTTCTTTCTTCTTTCTCTGTCCTGTGGGACCCATTATGTAGATATTGGGCCCTTCTGTCATCCTCCATCTGCCTTTACTTTTCCTATATGGTTTCTCCGCTTGCATTTTCCTCTTTGTGTACCTCCCTCCTCGAGCATCGTCTGGTCCTCCATCTGACTCCACTCTGACTTGGTCTTCAGCAGTGTCCATTCTTCTGCAGATCCCATCCCTTCAACCACTGTGTTGCTCAAATTTAATATCTACACTTGGTTCTTTTCTATAATTCCTTGTCTTTCTGCCATGCTTATTTTAACATCTTGGGCCTTCCTTCTCTTCCAGCGGTCAGAGTTGTCATTTCGTAGTTTTTTTCTTTGCAGCAACTGTGCTCCTCAGGGTTCTGTGCAGCAGAGACCCCTCCTTGCAGTGCATGTTGCAGAGGAGCCCAGGCAGACCATGGTGCCAGTGCACCCAGGCATGCAAGAGTCCTGGGCAAGACCCAAGGGCAGAGGCCCCAGGATTGTAAAACCAAGGCCAGCCACTTCACCCCTAGACTTGACCTCAGGCCCCCAGAGAGCATCCACATTAGGGAACAACTCCTCCAGGATGGCCATCCACCCACCTCTCTCCCCTAATATCCTACTTCCATCCTGCTCTGGAAGGCCAAGCTACTATGGCCAGTAATCAGTGCAGTTGCAGGCCAGCGGTGACTGTGCCAGCGGACTTAGGGGACACAGAGGAGCAGAACCTACCCTGGTTTTCTTTGCTGTATCCTTGCACTGTGTCCCTCCCCTGCGCCCTGCCACTCCACCCCGCATGCCCCGGCTTAGGCGTTTAGCTTGCCTGGGACTTCCAGCATGTGGAGAAATTGTTCTCATCCATCTGTGGTTTCTCCAGGGGGTGTCTGGGGGTCAGATGGGCAGACACAGGGTCTCTGCCAGGCCAGGGAAGCCCAGCACCGTCCAGGTCTCCTCACTGACACTTGTACTCAACTGTCACGCTTTGTGTCCACAGGGTCTGAGGAAGAGAGAGCTGCTGAAGGAGCTGCTGCCAGTCATCGGGCAGAATCTCCGCTTTCAGCGCCTCTTTACCGAGTGTCAGGAGCAGCTCGACATCCTGAGGGACAAGTAGCCTACCCAGGCCTTCCCTGGCTGCAACAAGGGCAGGGCCACACACTCGCCGCTGACAATGCACAGGGCCACCTCTCACCTCGTCAGACTACAGAAGGACGAGGAGACACTGGCATGAGGTGGGCTGTCCTGTGCCAGCGCTGGCCCAGCTCCCTGGGCGGACTTCCCCCATATCCTGGGCCTGTTGCTCCCTCAGAGGGGGGCAGCTCTGCCCGCCACTCATCCCTCCCTCCAGGACCCCTGTGCAGAGCTGGGGTTGGGGCCCTGCCCTGCTGCCCTGGGGTCAGTGAGGCACTCCCAGGCCTGCCGTTTCCAGCACGGGCCCGAGGTGGACACTAGTCCCTGCCACAGCAGGCATCGTGCTGCTTCAGCTATGACGAATGAGCCATTTGTGAAAGAGAGACCCCGGAAATGTTAGTGTATTATGCAGTCAGTAGACTGACCCAAGACCTAGGTAAAAGGAAAGGCTATTCCAACGCGGACTATTTTTGTACTAGAATTTGCTAACTTGTAATATGGAATTTTCCTTTTGGCCAATAATCAGGATTTCCCTATAAGTCACTTGGACATTGGTCACTTGTAGGAAATTTAAACTCTAATTATGACAGCTACATTGAAAAATAATTGTACTGAAATTAACTTGTCTATCTTCATTTGGTTTTAATTTTTAAATGTTTGTAAAAAGAGACTGTTTTTTGGGGAATGGGGCAGAGGGGTGGGCGATTTCTTTTGTAAGTGTAAAATAAATGAACACGCATTGGATACCAAATCATCCTGGCTTCCCCTGCCTTTTCCTTCTAACTTCCCCCTTCCTCCCCTGCCGTAGCTCCCTCTCCCAAAATGGGTAGTTATGGAACATCAGAACTGGAAGGAATCTTTGATGTCCTCTAATGGCCCCAACTTCTCTGTGCAGAAATTCATTACCCAGCATGGAGGTCACTTCATTGACCATGAAGCATCTGAGGCTTCTGGGGCTAGCAGATAGGCCACCTCACCTGAGGCTCCTCCCAAGCCAGTCATCAAGGTCCTTGCTTCTGGCTGTGCTGTGCCCCTTGGTCCCCAATCATGCTGGGCACCGAGGGCTACAGCTGGCTTGCCAATTTTGTGGAAGGAAATCATTAAGTACAGACTGGGGTTTTCTGAAGAATTATCTGAAAGCTGTGATTTTCCTAGAATGTGGTCCAGAAGCTGACCCACAGGAGAGGAAATAGCTAGAATCACAGAATCTTCAAGCATGGTGAGGATGGAGCACCTTTACCTCTGTATTATGCACCTCTCTGTTGCCTCCCTGCCAGCTGGGTGGGATCCCAAGTCTCAAGAAAGAGGCGTGGATTTAGAATTAGAAGACCTGGGTGACTCTGGCCACTGGTATCCCCTCTCTGGATGCTTTCCTACCTAGTGGCCATCTTACTGCCTTCTCATTCATGTCAGGCAGCTGGATGAGACACAGGCATACAGGCATGCCTGACAAAGCCAGAGCACAGAGTGCATGTGGGTATGAACACCTCAGAGGCCAGGCTGCAAGTATGAGCTATTCTTAAAGGAATGAGGAGCCAGGGATGCCATGCAGGTCAGGCAGCTCCCCTGGCAATTCGGCAGCAAGGCATGGAGAACTCTGGAGCCACAGGATGCACATGGCCTTGGGACTGACAGGCTTGTCCGGAATCCAGACCAGCAAAAATCTGGGCCTACTTTTCAGCTGTCAATTGGAGATGAGGTTAAGAAAACCTGCATGGTTGTGAGGGCTAACCAGGATCACACAGGCAAAGTCCTGGTGCTTAACAAATGCCTCTTTGAAGAAAACTTTTAACAGTCAGTGTTTTACAGTATTATTTGTGGGTTTTTTGATAGGCTCCATGCCCAGCTCAGACCCCAACGTGGGGCCTGAACTCACAACCCTGAGATCAGGACCTGAGCTAGGATCAAGAGTCAGATGCCCAACAACTGAGCCACCTGACACTGTTACTTGGAGAGGAGAGAAAAATGAAAGATGTCATGGACTTCTGCTTCCAGCCAAGATAGAATAACAGGAACCAAATTTACCCACCTATCTGAACCAACCAAAAAAGTCAGTCAACATACATGAAACAATGATCTCAAGACACTGAATATCAGAAAACAAAGGACAATAATCCTGGGAGATGGAAAAAACAAGATGATCCCTATGACTGCCCCAGCTTACTATCCAGAGAGTTTCCAGGCTGTAGCAAAGGGAGGAGAAGCTGAGGTAGAGCCCAGCTGACTACTTGAGTCGAAGAAATAAAGCTGAGAACCCAGGGAGACCAGGGCAGCTAGAGTTCACAGGACAGAATACCGGAAAGGAAAAGCTCCATAGAGAACCTTACCCTCAGTAGAGAAAGCCCTACCCTATCAGTGCATATTTAACTGAGCACTGATCAGGGTGTAGAAATGAGACAGCCAAGGGTAGACAGGGAACCACCTGAAAGGATTAGAGTGAAAATTGTTTAGGTATCACTTAGGGCTAAGAACAGTACCTGTTCCTACTAACCAGATTAGAAAACCTTGTAACTCACAGGCTTGGAGTAGAGTACTCAGGAAGTATTGCCTAAATATTGAATAATTAGAATACTGCTCCAGATTCATCTAACAAAAATAAAAGCAAGACCCAAAAGGATCAAACTGTTTCCAACTAATTACATTGCAAAGCAAATTTCAAGAGGTTTTATAACAATACTAAAGTATGCAACATCCAACAAAGTAAAGTTTACAGTGTCTGGCATCCAAACAAAGACTACCAGGCACAAAAAGCAGGGACATGATCCAAAACGAGAAAAATCAATCAAAACTGACCCTGAACTTACACGGATATTAAAATTAGCAGAGGATATTAAAATGAACACTATCCATTATGTTAAAAAAAATTGAGTGCAAACATAGAAGACCATAAGAAAGCCACAAACTTCTAAAGATGAAAAAGATGAAATAATTGCAGAAGAAAAGATTTGTGAATGTAAAGCCATAGCAATAAAAATGCTCCAAAACAGAAAAAAATTCATAAAAGGAAAGAAAAAAAAATAGTGTCAATACGCCATAGGACAATGTCAAGTAACGCAATATACAAGCAATTGAAGTCCTCAAAGGACAGGGGAGAAAAGGAGGTGACAGAAAAAAGTATTTGGAGAAATAATGGCAAAAAAACTTGTCCCACCCTTATTCTTTGTGCTTCTGCTGGTGACCGCTGTGCCACTGTCCCTTTTCTCCTCACCCCTACTCCTAATGCCTGCTGACCTCCCTACTCTGTCCACTGATGCCCACACCTTCCCACTACCTCTGCCTGCTGACCTTATTTGCAAGCAGAACACTGGGGCCCTCTGTCTTCCAGGGCTGGGACTCCTTGCCTTTCAGAGTTCTGACTTGATCATCTTGGGCAGCCTCCAGACCACATATGAGGAGTCAGAACCCTTTACAAATTAGGTTGGTGCAGTGAGAGATTGTATATACACATAGCAGGGACACTCAAGAGAACAAAATCCATCATCTCTTCCCATATTTGATCTCTATCCCTGTCCTTTCACATACATGGCACGTATTTTCTCCAGATTGTTTTTCATCTTTAAATGTTATTGGTGTTGGGGCGTCTGGGTGGCTCAGTCGTTAAGCGTCTGCCTTCGGCTCAGGTCATGATCCCAGAGTCCTGGGATCGAGCCCCGCTTCGGGCTCTCTGCTCTGCGGGA